CAAATTAGCAGTCAGAGATCATATAAATTTATAAATAAAAAAACAGAATACTGGTAATTCTTGTCTGTAATTGTAGAAATTGAACATGATTTCAGTAGCAGCAGTTCTGAGATGATGATGAGGTTGATATAAATGACTTTTTGGCTTGTTAGGACAGAGGAACAACCTTATGTGTCCTCCACTAAAAACCATTCAAAACAAGGGGAGCTGTCATATACCAGGAATAACGAGAAGCCTTGTGAGGCACCCTTATATGCATTATTCTTTGCTTATTCCTACAAAATAGGGGGTGGGGGCTCAAATTCTACAGATATTAATTATGAAAGGACACGAGACAGTATCTAACTAAACATATTACTTAACAAGATTCTTTCACAATTTAAAACAGAATGGATTCAAGATGGAGAGAGGTTCTGTGATGTTATGTAAAAGATCTTGTTTACGAGTAAAGAGGAAGGAAATCTCATACAGATAGGTGAAGACGAGGGTTTTTTGTTAGCATCGTGAAAATCTTAGTCTAATCCAAGAATTCTCATTAGTCTAAGTCTAATTATTCCAAAAAGAGAAAGAATAATAACGCAGTTAAAGTACTAATTTACAGAAAAATCACAACAGTAATATTATGGCTAAAATTGTTACATGCATGCAAGGACGCATCTTAGTTTCTATTCCTTCTCCTAGAGATTGCTCCTGCTCCTCCGGGAATTCGGGTCAGCAGCTTCAGGCTACTGGAGGAAGTAACACCAACAGTCATCGGCCACTGGCGTCCTTTCTTGGGAGAAACATTATGCTAATGGTGGTGGTTTCTTCTTCCTCTCCCCAGGATCCACTTTGGATCATTTTTATATGTTAGCTAACATGCTTTTACACCTTTCTTTTTCTTCACTGGTCTGCACCTTCAGGTTACATCCGAATTTACTATATATAGTGTCATTTATGTATGTTAGATAGTATCTGTTTGTTAGTTAGTAGAGATAAGATCTCTTTGTTACCCCTAAAATCAATTTTACTAAGTCAGGTCTGCATTATTTTTTTTTAAACTAAGCATCAGTGAGTTGTTTATATCCATAGGTGCTCCAGTACCCAACCCGTGCCCCGTTTGTTAACTTGCAGCCTTGTAGCACGGCCTTGCTCAGAGGCCATAAGCTTTGCAGTGAGTTTGCATGGCCTCAGGACCCAGGCTTGCCAGCCCTGCTCTGTTGGAGCTTGTCCTGACCTGCCTGCAGCTTTGTTTTGGTTGGCACAACTGTGACAGCAATTTCTTGAATTGACTGTCTGTATCCAATTTGTTTTGCTTTCTTTTATCTTTGCACAGTACAACTGCAGTTCGATGTAGAGAGCAGCAACAAACAGTTGTTCTGGGTGGGATGAGATATTTATTACTCTTACACAATGACACAGCACAGAGAAACGTGGGCCTGGTACAACAGCAGAGACCTTGCGATGAGAAGGTGCAGGATGAAGGAGTGTGGGCAGGGGTGATAAGACCTTCTGTGACAGTTATGTGGATGACACGATGCCAATAGAACAGGAGCCTAAAGCATGGTGCAAAACCGCAAAGGTGCATCAGCAGAGGCAGAAGGGGGAAACAACCCTTCCCTAGCCTATGCATGATAACCAGGTCAGCCTATACTAGCCTGAAATATTCTCCTTATCATAGATGCCTCTGGATTTGAACAAAGTAAACACCAAGAGCTATTTGAAGCTGTTGCCACATTCTCTGCAACACAATGTAATGCATGGCACAGAGCCAGGCTAAAGACAGCGGCTTAGTGACTCCTAGGTTTCTTTTCCCCTACAGGCAGCTCTTCCAGCTTCTTTTGCAAATTCAGACACAAGCTGTAGTTTCACTTTCTGGTTCCCGTTAAATTACTCATAGATCACGTGAGGGCTGGAGCACATAAAAGGAAAGTCATAACAACAGTGAGTGGTACTCCTTTGGCTTTGAAGCTCTCTTAAAGACAAGTGGGCAGAGAAGGAAAACCATGAGGTAAGCAAGGAACCCAATCTCTGAAAGATGCTTTTTTGCTATACCAAGGGAAAATAATGCTTGTTATTTACAGAAATTTAAGCAGTGAGGGACTTTGGGGATCCAAACAGCAGTAAGTATTTTACAGAATATTTACTGGAAGAATCGAAATAAAATAAGGATGCTATTGAATATTGTAATGTTATTGCTTCTGTGACAAGGGCCAGTCTCTGCGAACAGAACTGACAATCAGAAAAAGTGTGCTTGCAGTTCAGGGGTGAAATCCAGGCTGGAGCTGGAGCTGGTGCCCTGCCAAATGAGTGACTGGCGCTGTTGTGTTTGAGAATATACTTTCTGATCTCTGCTACAGCGAGGACCAGCAAACAGGGCAGTGCAGGCTGTGGGCTGCAGCTGGGAGCATAAGCGGGGGGTTAACATTTTCTGAAGACTGTCGTGCATGCACAGAGGCACCCACACAACTAGGACAAAGCCATGTCATGACAACTTTGGAAATTGCATTTACCAGTTATGTGTTGAACTAAGCTAAACTGTATTTAATCTGCATCACTGTGATAGTTCGGTGTGGGGGAGGGAGTTCTGGTGGTGGGGGAGGGATTTCTGGTGGCAGGAGAGGGGATTTGCTCCCTGTGCCACCAGATACATATTCCCATCCCCCTCGGGGTTGAGCCAATCATCGACGCCTCTGCGAGAGTAGTTTCTGGAGTTTTCCTCATGCGCAGGGGATCCATTGGAGCAAGGGAAAATGGTGTAAGGACTCCTTTTCCTTTAAGAAAGGAGCGGCAGTAACAACATGGATGAACTGACCTGCACTCCCCCATTCCCTGTCCCCCTGCGCCGCTAGGGGGAAGGTAGAGCCGGGAACAAAAGGAAGGGGGTGTGGGGAGGTGTTTTTTAAGATCTGGCCTCGTTTTCTCTTTATCCTCTCAAGTAACCTGTTTAGTTTCCCTTTGTCCTTTTAAGCAACTGTTAATAAATTGTTTTGTTTTAAGAAAACTGAGTCTGTTTTGCCCAGGACCATGGTTGGTGAGTGGTCCCTCTCTGGTTTTGTGTCGACCCTCAGTCCTTCTATTATAAAACCACAAAATCACAAACCTATTTTTGTGACATTCATGAATATTCATTTTCCACCAATGTCTTTTCATTAATTAATCTCCACTGTTGTTTTCAACCATGGACATTGTCATAGTTCTCAGCTGAGGCGATAAAAAAACACATTTCATTTTGAATTGAATGGGACTGTTCAAGTGCTTCAAGCTATTTGGGAGCCAATATCTCTTCTGTGGTATTCACCTGTAGCCAAAGGTGTCTAACAAGATAGTCCTAATAATAGGAACTTACTCTCACTTCCCCTTCATCCCAGAAGAACTGTAATTACCTCATATACAGCTTGATAATTAGGAACAGCTGTTAATACTAATAAAAAAACCATCAGTTAAGCAGAGGAGATTATTTAAGAAAGGAAAAGTCTGTGAGACAAACTTATGCATTAACGGCATTTATAAATACCTCTTTTGTCTAACATTCCTCCAGTACCTCTGTGTCACGCGGTTTGGATGGAAATGTGTATTCAGTGTCACTTTCTCCAGTGTCCTTCCCTCTGTCCCACAACCTGTAAGAATTGCTTCCTGATCCATCCTTTATGTGTCTCCTCATAATTTTCTATTCTTTCCACTCACTCCTTTTTTATTTTTTTTTAACCTAAAAGATATCTCCTCTTGTACCTGATTTTGCAGGTAAGCAGCAGCATACGTTATACCACATAGGCTGTTAGACCCTCTAAGTTTTACAGGAAGGAAAGCAGAGCTGTCTTTCTAACAAAGACTGATTTGACTGAGAAACATCGGTTATAAAGTCGTGTCTAATTCCGCCTTTAAGGGAGAGCAAAATATGGACTAAAGTGTTATCTCCTCTGCCTTGTAAAGGTTTGTCCTTGAGAGATTATGTGATAAAAGCTGGTCTGCACACCCACACAGGGGCACAGGCAGGCAATGGCAGGAGGGGGAACCCAAATAACACCCTACCCCGGCTGCTCCCAGGCCTGTCCCAAGAGCCATCAGCCCATCCCCACACACACAGAGGAGCACAGAGGGACAAGGGCAGGTGGGGGCTCCTCGATGCCCCAGGGTGACATGAGCACTCACCCAGCTCTCTCGGGGCTACCCCAGGGGACCCTCAGCCCCATGGGCCAGGGGTAAACCCAGCACCGGGGGTCCACAGGAGTGCCTTACAATCTGAACTGCTCCAGGGTACGAGATACGTCGTGGGATGCAGGAAAAAGCATTTGGGCATTACATGAGACTTACTATGGGCTATTTGGGGAAGGGACCGAAGACAGCGAAACAAGGGATCTGGGTGATTTGAGAAAGAACAAATGTTGAAAAATAGAGAGGGGATAAAGGAATATTAAGGACCAGTTGTATGTAAAAAGGGACTGGTCAGTATGCGTGCATGCATCTAAGGATAAGGCACCTGAGCAGGGAGGATCCCTGACCAGCTACTGGATGTCCAAAACCAGCTTCTGGGGATCCGCAGGATTAGTGAGTGAGTGAGTGTGTGGTCTGTACCAGCAAGTGGAGTGGGATTGCGCCCTTGGGGGCCTGTACACCCAAGTGGCAGCAACTGGGGAGACTGGTGGGATCCAGGAGCCAGCTACTGGATACATCAGTATGGTCATAACAAATATCTGACAAACAAGGATTTACAAATTCAGGAAATGCAAAATGAAGTTTCTAATCCAAACCATAAAATATATAGAGACATGGGAAAGGCACTATATCACTTTCTCTATAGTTTGGGGAAAGATTTTTATTTGATTACCTCTTTTAGATAGGCTTCAGTAATTGTTCCCAGCATAGAAAATATGTTCCTGAGGCTCAGAGGAGTGCCAGCTTTACAATAGAGACCGCCCTCCTCTTTGACATCTGGATCGCCAGGTCTGTTGTTATGTAAGAGGCGCCCTCATACACTGGCAAGGAGAATTACTAAAATAATTATTCAGCTCTTTAGACCTATGGCTTTCCACAGCTTTGGCTTGTTTGAAGTATTGTTGACTAGTGGCACCAGGTGAGGTATTGCCTGCTTTTGAAGTACGGTATGCCTGGTTTAAAATAATAGCAAAAAGCAAAAGGAGTATAAGTAAGTTTCCCTTTGTTTCCTTCTAGTACCAATTCCAAGAATTCCTTGAAGACCTTCCTGCTACAGCTAGAATGTCATTTTACATGGACTTTGCTGAAGCAGGATGTGGATCTCGACGAGCTAGAGGAAACAATATACGATCAGATCGAGTTTTTAATAAAATCCAACATCCAAAATTATAATCTACTATCCTATGTATGCCACCTAAAGAATTCAAATGAGGAAGCCTTGAGAAATCTCCAAAAAGCTGAAGAAGAAATTAAAAATAATTATCCAGATGAAATTGCCAGGAGAAGTCTTGTTACCTGGGGCAACTATGCCTGGATCTATTACCATATGGAGAGATATGAAGAAGCTGAAACTTATATAAGAAAAGTGCAAAACAGCTGCAAAAAGCTTCCAAGTACTGCTGAATGGAAGATCCAGCTTCCAGAGATCTATGCTGAGCAAGGATGGGCATTAATAAAGTTTGGGAGAAAATACTATGAGAGAGCAAAGAGTTGCTTTGAAAGTGCTCTGAACATTGAACCCAATAACCCAGATTTTCATGCTGGCTATGCAATAGCAATGTACCGTTTAGAAGATTTTTCTCAAAGACAATGCGAAGATGTAAACCCATCCATCGAGCCCCTGAAGCGTGCAGTGGAACTGAATCCAAACGATACTTTCATTATGGCATTAACTGCATTAAAACTTCAGGACTTAAAGCAAGTTAATGAAGGGGAAAAGTACATTGAAGCAGCAATGCAGAAAACCCCTGATCTTCCTTATTTCCTGCGATATGCTGCTAAATTTTACAGAAGGAAAGGAGATGTGGACAAGGCACTGGAGATTTTGAAAAAGGCCCTAGCAGTGACACCAAGATCTTGCTTTTTGCATCACCAGCTAGGACTCTGCTACAGATCAAAGCTGTGGCAATTGAAAAGGACTACAAGATACCCACCTCAAGAGCAAGTGGAGGCACTCATCCAACGTGCCATTTTTCATTTTAAAACAGTGATTGACCAAAAGACAAAATTTTTTTCTGCCCATACTGACCTAGCAAACATGTATGCAGAAGGAAAGAGGTATGAAGAGGCAGAAGAGACATTTCAGAAAGCGTTCCAGATAAATATTCTATTTTATGATGATAAACAAGAATTCTATTACCATTATGGCAATTTTCAGCGTTTTCATATGAAATCAGAATCTGAAGCCATAAGGAATTACCTAGAAGGGGTGAAAATTGAAGAAGATTCTTATGGAAGAAATAAGTGCATAAAGGCACTGAAGAAATTGTTGGAACAGAGAATTCAGAGAGGTTTAGAAGATGCAACAGATTTTGCTACACTTGGACTCGTTCACAGTCTCAATGGTGAGAAACATGAAGCAATTGAGTGCTATGAGAAAGCCATTGCATTGTGTCCTGACAGTGAAGAATATCTGACTGCGTTATGTGAGCTACGACTTTCCATCTCAAGCTAAAGTTCTGAAAAATCCTTCACACCAAAAAAAACCCAAACAAGGCCATTTCAACAGACTCTCAAATTCTTTTTTTTTTTTTTTTTTTACAGTTGAAGTTATAACCAGGTGAAACATCTGGTAGCATCACTTTCTGATGATAATGTAGAAACTGCAGATAATGATTGTTCATTTGTTCATTCATTCACCAACAAACAGTATGCTTGGAAACATTAAATAATAGCTAAGCTACCTTACTCCTCAATGTTAACACTGATATAAAGGTTGTGGTTAAGTGATGATCTGTAGAACATAGAACTTCTAAGCTGGAAATCAGATCTTACCTTCTTCCGAGAAAAAGATAAGGGAATCCTATTGTAGTATTTCACCTATCCACTTGAAAGGCATGCTTATACACAAATGGAATTTCTGATGCTTTTTCAAATATTTTAAATATGTCTTTTTTTAGTGTTATTTACAAAAACCTTTTGTTGAACACATGTTTAGTTTACTACCTTGTGTGTTGTTTGACCATGAATATAAAGGCTGTTTAGCTAGCTCACTGAAAAGCTTACAAAACAGGTATTGTTGTTGTGAACTATTAAAGAGCATTGTGTCCATCAACTATTGCTTCCGGTATCTCTCTGCTGACTGATCGTCATGTTAGTAGATAGAAAGATTAGAGCCATTCAAAGAAGTAAAAGGGATAAAGTTATGACAGGATGTGAAAGGGTCAGGAGATAGGCCCATTTGTTTTCCCAAACTCTCAGCAAAGCTGGCTTCAGAGCTATTGCACCGAAGAATTAAACTGTGCACAAAACAACATCCGTCTAGTTTACCCAAAACAGCGCTCTCAGGAACTGCTACAGCAAACATCTGGAGAGGAAGGAAGGGCAGTCTTTGAGATGCCAAAGAGATGGCTGTCTGCGGCCATGCTTGTGAAACAAGCCAGGGATAGAGAACACACACAAGAAATGTACTGAACTGGGCACGGAGGGCAGAGTGCACGTAGAGCAGGAAGTTGCATGAGCACTGAAGAACAGGGCAGCAGAACACAAGGGGCATGTGGGAAAAGGGGTAGGCACCCACAGCGTCTACATGAGAGGAAGAAAGGGCGGAAAGAACAGAGAGAATGGGTGGAGGTAGTGATTGTTTTCAGATATCCAGCTATAGGCCAGTCTAATTCCACAGTATTGTACCTTGGTATAATAGATTATGATTCTCAGAGAAAACTAATGCTGCACTTCCAAAACACTTCTGAGCCCTAGCCAGTAGCATAGAACAACGCAAACTGGTGACAAAGCCCATCAGGAAGGATGTGTGGTTTTGTTTCTGGCCATCCTGGAGCATCCCTGCCCCCATATGTTGAGTTTATGGGATGGGGTTTTGGTAGCAGGGGAGGGGCTGCAGAGATACCCCCTGTAAGGACCTGCTAGAAGCTTTCCCAGCTCCAATTCAGCCCCACTTCTGGCCAAAGCCAAGCCAATCCGCACCGATGTAACACATTTAAGAAGAGACAAAGAAACCTGTGCCATGCGGGACCTGCAGTAAAGAGAGGAGGGAGGTGGGGGGGCCTGGCCCCTGGTTGCCTGTGCAGATGGGTGCCCTCGCTGGGCCAATGCCACTTGACTGGCAATGGCTGCGGCAGCATGGCTTGGAGCACTTTGCAGCTCCCTGCTCCTGGGACACTCCCTGGGCGGAGTTTGTCCTGCCAGGACTGCCGAAGTTCATCAGGCCAGTCAGGCCCATCGGGGCTGCAGCAGAGAGAGGAGTGAGATCTGAGTGAAACAATCCTGCAGACACCAAGGTCAGTGAAGATTGGAGGGAGGAGGTGTGCCGGAGCTAAGATTCCCTTGCAGCCCACAGTGAGATAGCAGGTGGGCCCCTACCATCCATGGAGATTAACGGTGAAGCAGAGATCCACCCACAGCCCGTGGAGAACCCTACACTGGAGCAAGTAGCTGTGCCTGAAGGATTTCATAGAGGACTGTCTCCTGTGGGAAGGGACCTCACACTGCTGGAGATCAACGGCTGAGCAGAGATGCATCTGCAGTCTGTGGAGGACTCCACACCAGAGCGGGTGGCTGTGCCTGAAGAAGCTGCGACTCCATGGGAAGAGCCCATGCTGGAGCAGTCTGATGGGTAAGGATCACATCTCGGGGGAAGGACTCATGTTGGAGAAGTTCATGGAGAACTGTCTCCTGTGGGAAGTGACCCCATGTTGGGAGCAGGGGAAGAGTGTGAGGAGTCCTCTGCCTGAAGAGGAAGGAGCAGCGGAAACAACGTGTGATGAAGTGACCGCAACCCCCCTTCCCCATCCCCCTGTGCTGCTGGCAGGGAGGTGATAAAGCCAGGAAGGGAGCAGGGGGGAAGGTGGTGGGTTTTTTTTTTTAAACATCTGGCTTTGTTTCTCATTATCCTCTCTAATGTGATTGGTAACAAATTAAATTGATTTGTCTCCAAGTCAAGTCTGTTTTGCCTGTGACCATAATTAGTGAGTGATCCCTTCCTGTTCTTGTCTCAACCCTCAAGCCTTTGTTATATTTTCTCATCTCCATCCCACTGGGGAGAGAGGAGTGTGCAAGCGGTTGAGTTATGCTTAGTTGCCAGCTGGACAAAACCATGACACCCCACAACAGCAGTCCCGTGTACAGATGGGATGACGGGCCTGAACGAGTTTTATATTGCCAGATCATAAACCATCAAAAAACCTCTCCCTGCTCAGCTCTCCCTCAAAGAATCTTTCACAATACAAGCAAAAGTGATCAGGAGCTTAACAGTGCACATCATACAACTGCACCTTGTTTCTAAAAAAAGAGCTGGGGCAAAATCCACCCTTGTTTTCCAGACAACCCAGGAGGGAGGAGAACAGGAAGGACTGGGAGCAGGACTGACACACCGCTCCTGAAAGCTGATAGAAGCAACAGTATGTTTGAAGTCAGGAACTGGTGACTACCTATGGCATTGTGCTCAGCTACAAAGGCAAAAGGGTACTTCAGGGGAATCCCCTGCCCTGCTCTTGAGGCTTTTAACGTCAGCATCATCTCCATTCAAACCCTCCTGACGGTATGGAAGGCAGCAGGGAGGAATTCGAGGAAGAGCTGGTGCAGGTTCCCCAAGCCGTGGTGGCACACCCATGCTCCTCTCCACTCCCTGCCCTGCCCCCAGAGCCACTCCTGCCTCTCTCCTGGAAAATGAACCTGGCAGAAATAAGAAGCAGCAATAAAGTATTCTGAGAAAAACAGGAGCCTGAATTTTTACGAAGAGTCAAAAGCGGCTCAACCTTCTCCATAGCGAAGAAATTCGCTGTGAGGCGCAGTGATGCAAGAAATCTCTTTATTGTGCCTTACCTTCTTTGGGATGTGGAGGATCACTGCTCGACCGCAAAACTACCCGGGGTGCTCGGAGCAAACGCTGCCTTCCAGTTCTTGCCCAGTGGCTGGTGAAGGAGGAGAAACGCTGTTTCCCACGGGGTGGTGCTGCCGCATCACCCAGCGCGGCGGCATCGGGAAGAGACCGAGCCTGACCTTCAGGAAGGGGACCACGTTGAACACACGTTTTGCAGTGTCCGAGTCCAACGGGCAAAACCAGAAGCACACAGAAGCTGAAGAATTCTCAGGTCACACTCAAGCATGAATACATCAATGAAGCCTACGCTGGCGGTGCAGGGAAAAAAAAAAAGAGGGAAGTATTCATTTACGAATCAAAAGTGCCTTTAAAATTATATCGAAACTAGTGGAATACACCAGAATAGTCACTTAGAAGGTGTTATTGAAGCGATCCCGACTAAGGACTTGGTTGTGCTGACCGTGAAGTATTGTTACAGCTCAACTTAAACCAGCTCTTCCTTCTCACAGAAATTTGTGAAAGCAAACACGGAATTGTTGTGGCAATATAAAATATATTCACCATATAGTAGCGCAGACACCTTCTTTCCCAGGAGAGAGATTATCATCCAAGCTGTCAGAAACGCTTCAGGCTCAAAGTTTTATCTTTTTTTCTGAAAACAGGGTTATTTTTCAACAGAAAGTACTGGACTTTTCCAATGCTGTTTTTCACACAATTTTTCAAGGTGCAATTTATTACATGTTCCAAAGCCGATTTGATAAAAATTATCACTAGAACATAAGCGATTTCAGAATAATGATGATTTTCCCAATTCATATCTCATGGAATGGAAACAGAAGTGATAATTTCAGCAGTTGTAAGCACTTTCACTTACTTCCTGTTCACTGCATGGAATAGAGTATTATCCCAGGCAGGATTCATCGGAGGTAGGATTTGTCTGTTTCTGTCTTGGACAGATGTTACCTCAGCCAAGTCAGATCACGCTGTCCCGGGAAGCCAGACAGGCTCAGCGGTGCAGTGCTCCATCCAAGCTCATATCCATGAGTGCTCAACAGGGCTGGTAGGAACACGCAGTGTTAGCCAGAGAAATTGTTCACAGCCAGCCCAGGTATCTCTGCCTACCTCTGCACCATGCCGTACCAGGAAATACCCTCTATGGGAAGCAGTCTGAATATTATAATCTCTGGAAAAAACAACATTGCAGATACAATAAATCATTTTTAATAAACAGTATAATCCAGAGACTTCTATAGTGCATCACCTGAAATATTTCACATGGCAGGATGAAGATGAGTTGTTCAGTTTGAGTTGTGTGGACCAGGGGGTAGAAGTCTGGCATGAGGCTTTGGATTGTAATCTCAGTTCTTCCACTCTCAGCTCATTTCTTGTTATGCTTCCTTCCTCCTGCCTCTGAGCTGGGAAGATCTGTGACTGGACTGATACTTCACAGTGTGTTTTATGCACAGAAAGCATCATTCTGATATGTAAGCTTTTCTCCATTGACTTAATTCAGAGCACAAACAGTGTTGGAAAAGCCTGAAATAACTGTAATTTTCTACAAAAGGTCTGTGTATAAAACCAGTTGAAGGTTTTCTGCTTAATTAGATATTTTAAACAAGAAATATTGCCTTAATTGTAAGTTAAACATAAACCAGAAAAGCATATAAAAACATATT